CAGGTCTGGACCCCCATGGAGTTTGCGGGGGTGGGGGGAAGGGTTTAGGGCTGTTTTTTGCCACCCGCAATGCCCACGCTCTCACCAAGGTTTAGGGTTTAGAGGGGTCCCTTTGCAAACGCACTGCTCACATGACATGACGGGTTTGGAAAGTACTCACATGTCCTTTGCACAACTCTGTAAAGTTCATAAGAATTTGCATGTTCCATCTTGATACCGTTTATGATGTTGGCATGTTTTGTATTGAGACTTGTGATGCAACAGGCGTTGATTTTGTCGCCTTTAGTTGCTTCCATCGCCGTCTCTTCAGCAAGGTGGCCGAACGGCTCAAGCGCAAAGAGAAAGGATGAAGCAGTGAAGCGCATACCCTCCCTAAACCCTTAGCCTAAACCCTAAACCCTAAACCCTAAACCCTAAACCCTAAACCCTAAACCCTAAAGTACATCTCTCGTTCGGCCCCGCAGTTCGCTCTTTCGGTCTCGTCATATTCGCTATGACCTTCTTTATGTATTTCTTTCGTTCGCTCTCTTCCTCTCTCTCGCTCGTCCGTTCTGTGATTCTTTCCGGATTTCTTACGTGTTTCTCTCGCTTTTCCGTTCTGCATGTCTTTCTGCCGTTCTGTCCTGCGCTTCTGTATTTCGCTCAGTACGTATTTCGTCCCAGCTTTGGTAACTCACATGCCAAATTGTAGAGAAACAACTCACCAAAACAAACGCGGTGCCAAACAAGGGGCAAAGACGCAAGAACACGAAAGTCAGCAATGGAAAAGCAAAAAGCAACAAGCAAAAAGCAAAAAGCAAAAAGCAAAAAGCAAAAGAAAGAAACCCATAGCAAGAAACTACGATATATTGGGATCCTTAAACTGGATCATAATTGGGGGTACTATAATCCCTAGTAAGGACTGTTTGCACAAGGGGAAACATGCCAAACGATGTAAGACAAAGCAAACTTAACCCTAAACCCTAAACCCTAAACCCTAAACCCTAAACGAAAAGGAAAGGGAAAAGCAAAGAGCCAGCTGCCAAAGACGATGAAAGTCACCACCTCTCCCCACATCTCTCCACATCTTCACCCATACTATTCTAAAGAGAGTAATGCATAATATAACACAATACCATGCAATATAATATGATAAGAAGTTGTGTTGCTTTGATTTGTTGTTAGTTGGTGGCACTTGTAGATGTAACTCTAAGAGCGTTTTGCGCGGCCGTTGCCTGTCTCTTACTGCCGTTCATTGCTTTTGGCTTCTCGCTTTTCGCTCGTTGCTTGTTTTTTTTGCCGTTTTCTCTCACACATGTATATATATATATATGTTGATATTTATTATATATTTATATTTATTTATTTATTATTTATCTATGCATATGTAAACTTTGCGTCCGGAGGGTGAGCCTGTTGAACCAGATGTCGTTGAGATATATCTGCCCCTGCTTGATGTACAGTTTAGGCTCTCGGATTTGACCCCGCTGGGGTGGAGGCAGCTGCTTGATAGTACCTCCTCCGCGCTCCCCGCTGGTTTTCTTAGGAATGTCGCGGCTTTGCTTTTGGAGCAGGATGCCAACCATGATCAGGCTTGCCTGGTTTCGACTTTGGAGCTCACGTTTTGGTTTGTTGGGGCTGGTGTTGCCTTTCCGGTCCAAGACCCGGTGAGCAACAGTTGGGTTGATCCTGCGTCTATCGTTTATAGGCTTATAGGGAACTGCACCAGACTTTGGCTGTACAGGTGTGTCTGGTTCGCAAGGCGCTGCGGATCCTAGCTAAGCTTCTTCACGCAAGAGTCCTCTTGCATTGGAGGCATCAACCTGACTGACCTGGGGGTTACTTTGCCTTTTGATAGGTTGGGGCTTGGTGTGGATGTTGGGGCCTTCCAGGTTCCAGGCATCGCGCACTGCACTGCGCCTCAGCTGTGCATGCGCTTCTCAGCCTCGTGTGATAATCTATACATGTCAGTACACATATGCTATTTGCTTGTCTCCTATATCCCAGGAGCCATCCTCTTGCGGTTGCTTGTTTTGGCGTCATGGCCTTGGTTTGAGCCGCACTCAAAGGCTCTGTTGAGCGAAAATGGAGTTTTGCCCGCCGCCTAGCTTGGGGCTTGGGTGCAGAGGTTAGGGTTTAGGGTTTAGGGTTCAGGGTTCAGGGTTCAGGGTTTAGGGCTTAGGGTTTAGGGTTTAGGGTTTCGGGTTTAGGTCTTCTTTTTGAGGGAGGTTGAGGGTTGCAGCTGGAGCTTCTCTGGGCTTGTGCAGCAACAGCCTGCTGTAGACTTGGCTGCACTCAGGAGTGTCGCTAAAAATTACACTTTTCGCTGCCTTATTAAGAAACCCAGTAAACCCAAAAAAGTAAGGATCTAAAGTTACAGTAAAGTACCACAAAGCAGAATCCAGGGTGTAGGACGATCCTCACCTACTCGGCCGCCTCGAACTCATGAAGCACACCTCCTCTGCCCCATGCTTGGACTACAAGTTGCTTAAGAACCCCGAGAAAAAGATTCTTCCTTATAAGTTATACAGGGATTATTTTATATACTTTTGGGAGGGTTTAGGAAGTTTAGGGTTTAGGGTTTAGGGTTTAGGGTTTAGGGTTTAGGGTTTAGGGTTTAGGGGCTTCTTAAGCAAACAGTAGTGGAGGTTCAATAGTACTTAGAAGTAGGGTTACAAGCAAGGGTAACTATGGCTGTAACCTCATCTCGGGCACATGATAACCCCACTTAGAAGTACCCCAAGAGCCTTCAAGTGGAAATCACGTGCACCCAAAGCGCGGTTTAGGGTTAGGGTTTAGGGTTTAGGGTTTAGGGTTTAGGGTTTAGGGTTTTGGGGTTTAGGGTTTAGGGTTTAGAGTTTAGGGTTTAGGGTTTAGGGTTTAGGGTTTAGGGTGAATGTTGAAAGATGTCGTGCCCGAAGGTGGCCTTGGCTGCCTCGGTTGCCATGGCCACTCCTGGCAAGCGCGCTGGCTATGCAACAAGGCTCCCGCCCCTTGATGACTCGACGCGACAGACTAAACCCTAAATCCTAAACCCCAAGCCCTAAACCCTAAACCCTAAACCATCCTAAACCCTACATATACATGTAAACTTACGCAAACTTACAACTATCTCCTCTGCGGCTTGGGTATGGTGCAGGGTCTATTGTTCCACATTCTCGATAAGGGGCCCTACCTGGGAAAAAAAACAAATCCCAAGTCCGGAGAGATATCAGAACCTTACAGATCCTCAGGACCCGACTTACTTCTCCAATAACCAATAGAAAAAAGGTTGACTTCGACTTTTTTCTACAGAATAAGGAAACCACAAAAGTCTAAAGTTCAACTCTTGGCGAAGTAAGCCTAAACGATCCCTAAAACACGATCCTCAGAACCCTTCTGTTGCACGTAGGCCCTACATCCCACGAGTACTTTCCTGCCGCCTCCCAGCTCCTAAGACGAGGCAACGCGGTTTAGGGTTTCGCCACCCGCACTGCACACACCATCAGGCGCCGTTTAGGGTTTAGGGTTTAGGGTTTAGGGTTTAGGGTTTAGGGTTTAGGGTTTAGGGTTTAGGGTTTAGGGTTTAGGGGTTTAGGGTTGAGGGTTTAGGGTTGAGGGTAGTACTGGAGAGCCCAATGCATACCCCCCGAACGTACCGAGATATGCTGCTAAGCATATCAGGGCTCCTTTGTGATGAGGTCTGAAGGGCATGCCCCAAACACCGGTGCACTCTCAGATTGGATTCCGGAGCTCTCCAGGCTCAATTCGTTACCCTCGCCTTAACCCCTAAACCCTAAAACCCGAAAACCCGAAAACCTAAACCCTAAACCCGAAAAACCCGAAAAACCCGAAAACCCCTAAAACCCAGACCCTTCTCTGCCTGTCGCAGCCAGCGTCCTCACTTTGCGGGGAAGGCACCTGAGGCATCCGCTCTCTGGGATTGTTTCCACCCCCACCCCCACCCCCACCCCCTCTCTTTCTTTCCGGGTTCCTAACCCTAAACCCTAAACCCCCTCTCTTTCCGGGTTCTGAGAGCATAGAATCTCCAGCTTGCTGTTATATCTAGGGGTAGACACATGGTCCCTTAAGATGGGCCCGCTGATCTCCCACTGTTCTAAGGACTGAGCACGCGACTTGCGGTAACTTGAGTTCCTCTTCGGGGCAAGCCAGGTCGGGCTCAGAGCGCTTTTGTGACCACCCGCTTTAAGCTGAAGCTGCGGGAAGCTGCAGGAATCAAACAATTTTGCACGAGACGGTCCGAGTTCATGCCTCCGGCTCTTTTCAGACCAAAAAAAAGTTGGAAACCTACCCTGCTTGGAGGTTCATGGGTAGTTATCAGCAGGGTTATATGCACCCTAAGTGAGGCCATAGCCAGTTAAAACTATAGCTGCCCTACTTAGAGCCCCACTTAGAAGCTGAAAGTCGCGACCAGACCAGACTGCCCCAACCGGGGCTCGCAGTAGGCCGCCTTCAGCCTTTTTATACCCAGACCCCTGGGGAGGATCCAAAAGGTAGATCTCCTGAAGAGCTCCTCTTGGAACCCCTTGGTAGTGCAGGGGTACTAGTTGGGGGTTCTACCTCTTTGGATCCTCCCAGGTAGGTGTTTGGGCATATGTGCAGTGTTGCAACTCCCGGGCCGCAGGGAAACGGAGGCACCGATCGGCCACATGTGGAGGGGGGGAGGGGGAGCGGGGGGAGGCAAGAGAGGTTGTCAGCAAAGCGAAGTATCTCGGAAAGTGTAGAGCTACAGCTTCTGGGGCCACATGCCGATGAGGTGCAGATCCGCCGCCTGCTGGAAAAGCGGCCCAGAAGCACCAACGATAAACATACTCTCTCACACAGCAGGCTGTGTAGTGAACACCGAATTTGTCGTCTCACACCTGACCTGACGCTGCCTCCGGAAATGCCGCCCACCAAAATTTGATTCTCCAAAGTGTTTTCTTGCGGCTATCTCCGAGAGCTTACTTTGTCGCCTTCACCCCCTCCCCTCAACGGCTTCTGGCCGAAAAGGGGTTTGCCGCCACGTTCATGCTGTCCGGCTAGTCAATGGTCCCGTTGTTGTGAAGTGCGGAGCAAAGGTTGCAGGTTTCTGCGCAGTACACAGCCGACTCAAGCGGATAGGCCTCGCATAGCCCCGTCTGAAGAGACTGTGCACAGTCACTGACGCGAATGTGAGTAGGGAAGTTCGCCGTGTCCTTGCAGCCCTCGCAACTCCGGGGGCACCACCAGGGCAGTGTTTCCGAGGTGTGGCAGCCGCAAGTCCGCGGGCACCAATTCGCAAGGGGGCCATAGTACCTAGACTCCCCCTGTAGAACCCTAGTAAAAATAGTATGTTTAATATGCTCTTGGAATTTATAAAAACAAAAACAAAAAACTAATTCCCAAGGGGGATATAGGTACAGCTGGCTGCCTGAACACCACGGGCTGCGCGTGACGGGGTCGGTGGGCACCACGCCGAGGCCTGGACACCCCACCTGCTTGACATAGGCCAGGAAGTCAGGAACGAAGCTGAGGCTGGGGCTGCTGAAGTTCATCCCCACCCTCTGCTCCATCAATGGCTTGTAGCTGTCCCAGAACCCCTCCCAGGCCTCCCGGAGGTGAGGGGACTCCTCCAGGTTCATGTCCTCGCAAGGTGAAAAGCGCATGGCGTACTCTTGCTCAGTGAAGCAGGCTTTCGAGCAGCCCTCGCCCACAAGCTTCAGGAGGGGATTCGAGTGCTGCAGGTGGCAGTCGCACGTGCGGGGACATACGTGCCGCACCAGGCGCGCCTTGGTATCTATGGAGTGGCAGAGGTGCGCCATCTCTGCGCAACTGGCTCCTTCTGGAATCCCTGCTTCGTAGCTGGCCGAGTAGAAGTACTGGCGGTAGAACTCCTGAAGCTCATGGGTCGCGTTGCCCAGGAAGATGTTGTCAAAGTCCATGCAGAGACTGTCATGGAGGTTGCGCTGATGCATGTCCATGTCCCTGGCAGTCACAAAGCTGGATCGATCCTGGGTGAAACGGATGTAGTTCGAGGTTCCCAGGGGCTCCTGCCAGATGTGCCGGCTCACAGCGAAGCGGGTGAGGGAAGTTTGGTTCAGACCCTGGGCGTGGTCCAAGGTGACCAGTCCCACCGTGACCCCCTGGACCTGATTCCCCGCCACCACGAAGTTCTGCGTGCCCCCACAGTACTGTCGCTTGACCTCCAACATGTCCCAGCTCAGCGGCCCTACGTTGTACATCCACGGCCACAGCATGAGACATGTGATCCCCACGAGGAGCATGATGGACTCCGTCTGACTCCGGGCTTTACTGTAGGGTACCTTGATGGCCTCGAGGTCCTGAATGCAGATCTGGATCTTCTTCGGCATCAGGGCCGCGAAGACCATCTCGTCGATCTGCAAAACAGCGGACAAGGCCACGGCATTCAAGATGAGCTCCGTGATAGAGATCGTGCCGCTCAGCCACTGCACGCCAGCATAGAGCAGGCCCACGGCGATGAAGAAGCGCGCCAAGCGCATGAAGCAGTAGACGCCAAATCGGCCGTAGGAGATCGTTTGGAAGCCTCCGCGCCTTTTCCACTGCGTTCGGGGCCCACGCGGGACTTGGGACACGGCCTCCAAGGAAAAGATCACGAGTCGGAATTCGTTGAGGAGGTACAAACACCAGAGCAGGATGCACATCATGCAGAGCAGAATGCCGGGCTGGAAGTAGGGCGCTTGGAACTCGTCCTTGCCGAGGCCGAGGAAGGCATTGATCTGGTCCAGCATCTGCATCTGCGAAGTCGACAGAATCAGCGTGCGATCGGCTCTGCACACTCGGGAGACGAGGCTCTCGTCATTCAGGTCCATGTGCTTGAAGTCGTGCGCGATGGACTCGCGCCACGCTTTCGCCACCTCGACCTGATTCCCGAAGGGCTCGCCCAGAAAGTCATCCGAGAGGAGGATGAAGAAGAAGGAGATTTGCATCAAGCCGCTGCCCAACCTTACTGTTGGTTAGCAGGGAATGAGGTACCCTATATATATATATACATATATAATGCCCTTTTCAAGGGATTCTAGAGGGTACTTCATTCCCCCCCCATTCCCTACTAACCAAGAGCAAGCAACCAGAGCAAGCAGGCGATCACCAGGTCCACCCGGCCACAATTCGTATGGCCCAAGACCAGGACCTATACTGATTGTGGAACCCTAACAAAAAGTTCCGAAACCCTAAACCCTAAACCCTAAACCCTAAACCCTAAACCCTAAACCCTAAACCCTAAACCGAAATTCTTTGCTGTTTCCTAGGAATTATAGTACCCCAAAAAGAAAAAGAACATTCCCAATGTACTCCTAGAAGGGGCCAGGTTCCAGGCCGTCTCCAGGAAAGCCACGGGCTCCTCCACACTCTCAGGCTGCACCCTGAACCCTAAACCCTAAACCCTAAACCCTAAACCCTGAACCCTAAAACCCTAAACCCTAAACCCTAAAACCCTCAACCCTAAAGCCTAGACGCCTAACGGGATCCTCCACAAGCTCAGGGTGCAGGGAGTCATTGGTGAGGCCGAGGCTAGGATCGATGGCCACCTGCAAGGTTATACGAAACTATGGGGACCCCCCCCCCCCTATTCTACGAATTGCTTAAGAACCCCCAAACAGAAATTAAAAAGAAGATTCTTCCTGAGAAGGTGAAAAGGATTCCCCTTGTAATAAGGACCCCGCAGATAAGGCACCCCCTCGAATTTAAGGGGGCCCCGTAAAAATAGATCCCCAAAGAGTAGGGATTCCCCTTAGAATACAAGGACCCCAATTACTATCATTTCGGCAAGGGGCCCCCAAAATAGATCCCCGAATAGTGAAGGATGTTCCCTCAGAATAAGGGCACCCGATAATGAAGTACCCCTTAGAATTTCGGAAACCCCCACCTTGGTCTTCTGGCGCTGCATCTCACTGGGGGGCTTTGTTCCGGGATGGTCGGGATCCTTCTGGAGCAAGTCGACGATGTCGATCGACACGCAGGGCAGGGCTCGGTCACTGTTGCCACTGAGGCTCTCGTCCATATTGCCATCACCCTCTGTCAGCAGTGTGTCGAGGTCGACGTGAAGCAATTCTGAAACTCCATGCTCGGGCTCCACACTCGGCTGCGGTGGGGAAGAGGACTTGGACGCGGAGCGGGCGCTGAGCCTGTCGACTTGGGACTGGAGGGCGTTGATCTGCTGGACATAGGGCTTGATCTGCTTTGTCACCTGCCGGGAAACATCCTTTCGGAACTCCTCCCGCAGGCGCAACTCGAGGTTCATGATGGCCTTCTCCAGCTTCACTGCCGACAGACCATACGCCAT